GTGGTGTTCGCTCAGGCGAGTACGGCGCCGAGAAGATTGTTATTATTGGAAGAAAGAGAGGATCACAAGGAGGATTTTGGCAAGGTTCTCGCAAAAGGTTAAAGTAACAGGTTTATATGGACAGCTTCGTGAAAAAATACAAGATGACGATTGGGACAGAGGAAGAAGAACTAAATCTAGATGAAGCTGATGTTGAGATTGTGGCGGATAAGCGGCGAGCGCGTCCCCCTCTTGAGCCGCCGCCATGGAAAGCAAGTAAATTTAGGGTTTGGAAGAAGCCTTATCTTATTTGTTTTGTTTATTTTTCCAGTAATTTTTATGCCTGTTTTGTTATTTGCTTTTTCTTTATTATTCCAGTTTGTAAGGCGTTGATTTTGGATGTGGGTGACAACAGAATTGGAGTAACCGTTTTTGGCTCATTTGTGCCCATTAATGGATCAACGAGTTATATTGCTTTGGATGAGGAGATTAACTCCGAGTCTGGTTCGCGGGACAGCGGTTGTCAGGATTCTATTTGTCGGATTACCAATTATCTGAATGTTGGGATTTCAATTTAAGCCAAATTCTTCCCAAAATAAAAATAAAAGACTAGTTTATTTGTATTAGATGTACAATTATATATCATGATAAATTTCAATATATCATAGATATGGTTGTCTGTGTGCATAGGCGATGTAAAGGGTTTTTCTTTTAAGTATGACTAAATTGAAATCAGGGACGGATCCAGGATTTCTTCTTAAGGGGGTGAAATTTTTTCATAGGTGTAGGGAGTGAAATTTTTTCGCTAGTGTAGCACGAAGAATTATTTTTCGCCAGTGTAGCTGGGAGATTTGTTTTCTGCTAGTATATGGCTCTGCGGCTATTTTGTATTAAAAAAAAATCATTAATATATACACGATGACATTTAAAACTATTACACTCTAAGTTTAGACAATGGAAAAATAACTTTGATTTTATAATTGAAATGCTCTAAAAAAGTATTGATACATTAAAGGTCAAACGAGCCAAACAACTGTTGTCGTAAGAAATACTCAAAAGTCTTTCAGAAAAAAAGAAATGTACCATCGTAAGAAATAACAAATCAAAAGAAGGTTATTTGAAGATAAAGAGTTTAAAAGGTACACACCCAACAATACTTTTTAAATAACTTTTGCTTTGTTTAACCACATGAATCTGTATCAGAATAAGGAATTGGGTTTTGAATTACAATTTTTGTCTAACAAAGAGGGTGCTATGTGAGCCATGAGGAGTTTTCTTATTATTACAATAGTATGTATGACATTATATTTTTTTAGAATAATTTTATATTGTTGATTCATATATATGGTGCATGTTATATTTGGATTAATGCTAAAATAAGTAACGAGTAAATGAATTGTGTAATTTAATGTCAACAAAAATTTATATTTTGGATTCACCTCACATGATCTAAAAACTATTTAACTAGTGTGTCTAGTAGTTAATTAATATCGTTTGATATTTTACAAAATCGAGTACTAATTAGCTAATAAAGATAACTAAACATTACAAAACTAGGAATTTTTATATAATAAATATCCTGTCTTAAACAATGATCAAAGTTGTTCTATCGTTTATTTGCTCAAGTATGTAAATTATTTTAGACGTTTCTTCTTTTAAATCTCCAATTAAGTACGTAGTATTACATTATGTAAGGCAATATATTAATTTTGAAAATTAAAAGTTAAGGGGGCGAACACATATATATCTAGTTAAAGTATGAAAAATTTTATGAGAATATTACACATATAATGGAAAAATTAGAAAATTCAAGGGGGCGATCGCCCCCCACGCCCCCGTAAATCCATCCCTGATTGAAGCCAATTTCCATAAAAATGTCTACGTTTACCTGTGGATAAAGACACTAGTGGAAAAATAACATTCTATGTCGGTTAAAATCGACTTTTAATGTCGGTTCTAGACCCGACATAGATCCCGTCGATATTGAAAGTGGGGCACCTTTCATATGGGGTGGAAGAACCGTTATTGAATGTTTTCTATATCGGCTATCATCAGACCCGTTATAGAATGTCATACAAATGAACTTTAGTTTCAACGTGGGTCAAAAAGCATTCGTTATTATATATAGACTTTTTTATAAAGAACCATTTCAATATGCTTTATATACTCCTTTTGTCTAGTAGCTAAACGTTTTTTTTACCTGCACTATAATATCCATGTTTTAAATTGCATTCAACAACAAAAATGACAATTTTACAGAATCATATCAATTGCATATTATAAATCATGCTAGGTAAAAATACAATATTCCCATAATCTCTCGTATTTTACAAGTCAACAAATATGCATATCAGTTGAAGACATGCTAATAACATCCAAAGGAATTACTACAAAATGTGTGTAGTGTCACTGAAGACGATGACCACTAATCTCACATCTGGTTAACATCATTACGTCAATTGAATAGATTTTGAACGTTGAACACCTATACAATAAATAGAAAAAGTAAGCATGAGTAAAACTGCATACTTAGAAAAAAGTAGCACTGTAGCAGCACAAGTAAAGTATTTAAAACTGCATAATTAGAAAAAGGGGCATAAGTAAAGCATGTAAAACTGAATGATTACAAAAAGGAGCATATGTAAAACCTGTAAAACTGTATAATTAGAAAAAGTAGTGGCATAAATTAATAAAATCATACAAATAAGTGAAAAGTTACCAGTAACATGTATTAATACCAAATGAGCAAATTACGTCTAATAACATAGTACCCATACTCAAAACAGTAACATTACATTTGAGATTCATTATAAACGTATAAGTCAATTAGTATTAAATTGCACACAAGTCAACTATAAGCACCATCACAAGATCTCATTTTCTTACTTTAGGAGTAGAAAGAATTAGAATGTTTACTGGAAGACAAAAAAACAAGAATGTTTACTGTGTCTTTCAACAAGAGAAATACAATATCCTGAATTAATTATATCCAACAAGAGTAGCTATGCTTAAATTATTAATGTATCACATTCAATGTAATAGTTAGTTGTGACTCTTGAGCAATGTGAATAAACACCGGAGTTCTAGATGAAAATACAACTATAAGTCTTGAACTACATTATTCATGCATAATATCACCTTAAAAAACAGAAACAAATTGCAACATCTATACATCTGCATAACGAAATGACAATTCTAACCACTAGTGATTAAGAGCTTGCCTTCATCTTTAGCATAAAGATCTGACTGTTGAACATGCCTGTCATTTAGGAAGTCCAATATCTATGCCTTTAACCTGTTCAAAATTTATATTAAACTGCTAATCCAGTTATCATGATAAAGTACTTTGTAGGGAATATTGAACTAATCAAACTAACTTATTTGTCTAGCAATCTAAGCCATAGAAATAATAGTTGACTTCATATCAATTGTATAAGACAACCATACACTTCACTCCTAACATCATTCCTCATTTCTATAACATCCGGATGTGATTAACAAGGTCATACATTTAGAAAAATATGATGTCATTGTCAGATTTTCATGTTGCTTACGGATGTCGCTGCCAACGTGAAATATATCATTGTAGCTGTCACTCTGTCAGACAATTTTATGATGATTTTTTCCGAAGAATTTTGAATGAATAACAAAAAGATGAAAAAAATCATCAAAATTTTTCCGCCCATTTTCTGGCGGCAGATCTGACAGCGGCTGGGCAGGTGTGAGGGTGGAGGGCTGGGGCATATATTGGATATAAATTACATTATTGGAAATAATTGAATTAGTTAAGTAAAAAGTTAGTCATATTTTTGAAAAAAGAAAGAAAAATAATCACTTTTTGTGTAACACAAAGGCATAGGTAATATTTGTATCCTTTTTCATATATAAAAGTGTGTATTGGATAAATTAACTACGTAGTATTTTATTAGCAAGTCAACAATTTTACACTATACAACTAAGTCAATAATGGGGATCCTGCACACCAAACCATACGGCTAAGTTAAGTTGTTCTTCACATAGAACCCCTTCTGGTAATACTAATTTGATTGAATCTGATAAAATTGGATTAAAAAATGAAAATATAGTTAAAATGATCTTCTACACAAATATTTAATTTTATATAATTCATCGCAAAAAAATAAAAGTTATATATTTGATTGAAAAAATTGAATGTAAAAACAGATTAAGTGGGGAATAGTCACCAAATGGCTCTAGATTCATCATGTCATTTTGTGTGTTGAAACTCTTTCAAGACATGTAATAGGATCTCGGGTTCCTATATTAGATCAATTTAGTGTGTTGAATTTCTTTTGTGGTGTCATTTTCTAAGCCACTTAATGAATTTGTTGATTAATTTATCTCCTACGAAAATATAAGGAAAAATGGCATATTAGGTCCTTCACTTATGAAAAGTAGTAGATTTAGTCCAGTCATTAAAGTCAACACTTCCTTAGTAATGTGGTGTCTTTATTAATGATCACATAAAATTCTATCATCAACATAATTTATCTTTCATTGAATTTTAGGTTATTGATACATTTTTAATTATTGTGCCATATATCGAGACACTTTATCTTTTAGGACCTTATTGATAGTGAATATATCTTTGAGGTCTTGGATTGTTAAAGTTTCTTATGTCAATATATAATTTTTTTTGTAATATCAAATCATAAATTAATGGAAATATTCACTATTTTAAAAATTATTGTGTGGACTCTTAGACTATTTTCATGACACACAAGAGTGCATTTCAAAATTTTAATTTCCATGACGTTTAATCATGTATTTTGAATGATTTTAAAGTAAGATGTGAAAATATGGAGTAATTTCTCCTTGCTCTATTCGACAGTATGTGTACAATATTTATACAGCCAAGTCTCCTTAATTGTCTCCTCTAAATAAGCTAACTTACTAAGTATAAAAGTACACATGTTATGCTACGGTTTACACGTTATATGTGGAAAAGATTTGTAGTATAATCTAGAAGATATGGAGAATAAACTAAAATATACAAAATATGTTCTCAATACCCCTCAAGTTGGAGCATGAAGATTGCGAATGCTCAACTTGGCAAGTAAGAAATGAAAAGATCGACGACCAAGAGCTTTGGTCAAAATATCAGCCAATTGCAAAGAAGTAGGTGTATAAACAGTAGCAATCGTATGACATACAATTTCATCACGAACAAAATGACAGTTGATCTCGATGTGTTTAGTACGCTCGTAAAAGACGGGATCATCCGCTTGACTGTCATAATACAGAGAAACGGGTGAGGAATGTGAAATACCCAAGCATTGTAATAAACCTTTCAACCACAAGATTTCACAAGTAACAGAAGTCATTGCCTATATTCTGCCTCGGCACACGAACGTGAGACGTGGCTTGCTTCTTAGTTTTCCAGGAAATGGGAGAACCCCCCAAGAAACACCAAATAGGCAGTAAGAGAACGTCTACTCAAGGGCCCCTACTGGTTCATCTTCTTCGCCAGATTCGTCTCCTGAATCATCTCCATCATTTTCGTCCTCAGATGCAGCAACTACTCATTCAGCACCTGCTGGTAATCCACTTATGTGACAAAAATCCACATAAGTAAACTTCAAGAGTCTACCCTCAATGTCAAACCAGAGCTCATCATCGGGTTGATCCTGCACTAGGTTTAAGGCCAACATGTGAAAGATTTGCCCGGAGAATTGTATATGTGGGACGTCAACAAGATGGACCCATGGTAAAGCGCGCAACATCTCCGTTTGTGTTGGAGATAAGTGTTTTGTACCCACTTCGCCGCATTTCTAAAGTATGAACACACGGAATACTGTGCGGGGAAATAGTCATAATTGGGAATATGTATCTTCAGGACCCTACCAGTGCAAGTACAGAATTTTATGGGAGACAGACAAAAACTACCGGTCATAGACCAAAAGTTTATAAACAAACACTAAATAACACTCCAAATGAACTTTAAACCACCCCACAGACAACTTATAAAGATGAACAAATAAAGGAATTACACTATAGCATAGACAAAATGTTGATTCACAGACAATAAATAACACTTCAGTTGGACTTTAAACCACCCCATAGATAACTTATGAAGATGAACAACGGAATTACACAACACCATACACAAAATGTTGATTCACGGACAATAAATAACACTCCAAATGAACTTAAAACCACCCCACAAACAACTTATAAAGATGAACAAAGAAATTACATTATATCATAGACAAAATGTTGATTCACGGACAATAAATAACACTCCAAATGAACTTTAAACCACCCCACAGACAACTTATAAAGATGAACAAAGGAATTACACAATATCGTAGACAAAATGTTGATTCACAGACAATATACAACACTCCAAATAAACTTTAAACCACCCCACATACAACTTATAAAGATGAACAAAGGAATTACACAATACCATAGACAAAATGTTGATTCACAAACAATATATAACACTCCAAATGAACTTTAAATCACCCCATAGACAACTTATAAAAATGAACAAAGGAATTACACTATACTATAGACAAAATGTTGATTCAGAGACAATATATAACACTCCAAAAAACTTTAAACCACCCCACAAACAACTTATAAAGATGAACAAAGGAATTACACAATACCACAGACAAAATGTTGACTCACAAACAATAAATAACACTCCAAATGAACTTTAAATCACCACATAAACAACTTATAAAGATGAATAAAGGAATTATACTATTTCATAGACAAGATGTTGATTCACAGACAATAATTAACACCAAATGAACTTTACATAACCACACAGACAACTTGTAAACATCAACAATACCCACTATTATATCATAGAAAAACGTTGATTCACAGACAATAATTATCACCAAATGAAGTTTACACCATCATACAGACACCTTATAAACATCAACAAAGGAAGTATACTATATCATAGAAAAATGTTTATTCGCAGACAATACTTCACATATTCACAGACTTTAAACCACCCCATAGACACCTGTTCGAAGATTGCTAAAACCCAATAAATAAAAATAAAAACCCTAAAAACAAACAAATGTTGAGAAATGATACATACCTTTCAGTGGGGTTCGCACCATCTCTGTCAGTGGGTCGTTGTCCAAAACCAGTCCACAAAGAGGGGGCTCGTGGGTTCACACCAGAAATAGAGGAATCGTCACAGGTGGAGAAGGGGTACACCGTACACGGCACCGGAAGAGGAGAGTGGTCGTGTAATGCTGGTTGACACCTCAAACGCAGAGTGGTCGTGGGGATGTGGGAGAGAAGGAATGGGGAGAGCGGTTTCGACTCTCAAGGGCGGCGGGAGTTTTGATTTTCGAGAGGGGGAGCGAGTGAGCACGTGGGTCGGTGGTTGGTGAGGTGAGAGGAAAAGAGAGGATAAAAAAAAATTGAGTTTAAGTAGTGGGTTTATGGTGCCTACTAATGTGTTTACAAGAAGCAATTTTGTTTTAAGAATGCTCAAGAAGTCAGCGTCCTTCTTGAATAGACGTGCTATTGAACAATTTTTTTCTTCCATCCGGAGTATCCCCGCATGTATTTACCGCCAACTACAAACTTTGTCCTCCCCGCCAAATGTGTCAATTCTCGAAGTTCTATGCACAGATGGTAACCTAACAGAAGCCTTGTTTGAGATGGGCAAGCGAGGAGTAGAAATGGTTTTCAAGGACTATAATATCCTGCTTAACGAATGTATAAATCAAAGGGCAATTAGAGAAGGCCAAAGGCTTCACTCCCACATAATCAAGACCCTTTACCGCCCTCCCGTTTTTCTTAGGACAAGGTTAATTGTTTTCTATGTGAAGTGCGAGATGCTGGATGACGCAAAAAGGGTGTTTGATGAAATGCCTGAGAGGAATGTTGTGGCTTGGACTGCAATGATATCTGCATATGCCCAGAGAGGGTACTTTTTTGAAGCTCTTAATCTTTTTGTTCAGATGTCGAGATCAGGTAATTTCTTATCAGATTACACTTCGTGCATAAGTGAAAATTCAAGTGAGCAAGCTCAAGTAATCACATTTGATTGAGTTCCATTGGCACGAGTCTGTCTATGCATTGGTGTAAGAAATGCTGTTTTTCAGAAAGTCCAAATTTGTGCAAGAAATGTTTTTTACGTTTTGAAGGGGTAAGCACCAGAAATTATAAGATGCAAGACTAAGCCCCCCGTTTTGGATCCATTTTGTGGCTTATTCGGCTTATCAGCAAAATAATATGTAGATTTTGAGTTCATTGGCAAAGTGGAAAATGCTTTTCCTTTAATAAAATTCAATTATTTCAGTTAAACAACCCACTAAACCGAACATAATTGATCAGTTTTATCAATGGGATTTTACCTCTTACAAAAATATTGGCCACTTGGCCGTAATTGGCAAATAGTTGTTTGCGTAGCTATTAGTTGTTTGGAATTAGCTGTGTATTTTAGTAGTTTAGACTCACTTTTAAGTTAGCTGTTTATGGTGAGGTGTTTGGTGATAGCAATTAGCTAGTAGGTATTTGAGTGTATATTATGTGAAACAAGAAATTTTAAAAAGAAACTTCCCAAGTTAGAAGCTTTTTGAAAATGTGCATTTGATGTACTTATAATTCGATAGGCTCATTACAAAACACTAAATTAGCTGGTTCACATGATCAGATTGCTCATTGACATCGAAAAACTAGAAACCTTGGGAAAATCCCTCTACCAAACAAGGCCATTCATTTGTGCATGTACCTTGACTTTAAATGTGATGAAGAAATTAATACTGCAGGAACCCAGCCAAACGAGTTTACATTCGCAACAGTGCTCACATCTTGTGTGGGCCCCTCCGGACTCAAATTAGGACAACAAATCCACGGGTTATTGATCCAGAGTGCATTTGAGTCCCATCTCTATGTTGGAAGTTCACTTCTTGACATGTACGCCAAATCTGATAGTATACCTGAAGCTCGTCTTGTGTTTGAATGTCTACCGGAAAGGGACATTGTTTCATGCGCTGCCATAATTTCAGGATGTGTCCAACAGGGCCACTTTGAGGATGCTATAGAGATATTCCGTAGATTACAGGGAGAAGGAATGACGTCAAACTATGTTACTTATACAAGCCTCGTAAACGCATTATCTGGACTTGCTGCAGTGGAACATGGCAGACAAGTTCATGGCTATGTCATTAGAAATGAATTGCTCTCTCATGTAATTCTTCAAAATTCCTTAATTGATATGTACTCCAAGTGTGGAAACCTCACCTACTCGAGGAGCATATTTGACAGAATGTCTGAAAGAACCGTGAGCAGTTGGAATGCCATGCTTGTTGGTTACAGTAAGCACGGAATGGGAAGGGAGACAATTGACCTTTTCGAAAAGATGAGGAATGAAAACATAACTAAACCGGACAGCGTCACGTTTCTGGCAGTATTGACGGGTTGCAGTCACGGTGGAATGGAGGAGAAAGGTCTTGAGATCTTCAACAAGATGGTCAACGGGGAAAATGAGGGTGATGTTTGGATGGAGCACTATGGATGCATTGTGGATATGCTGGGACGGTCGGGTCGGGTAGAACAAGCTTATGAATTTGTTCAGGAGATGCCTTTCAAACCAAATGCTTCGGTTTTGGGCTCTCTTTTGGGCGCATGTAGGTTTCACGCGAAACCCGAAATTGGCGAGATCATAGGAAACCGACTCATGGAAATGGAGCCTGAATGTGGCAGGAACTATGTTATCCTTTCCAACATATATGCATCCGCGGGAAGGTGGGGAGATGCAAAGAGGGTGAGGAAGATGATGCGAGAGAAGTTGTTGATGAAGGAGCCAGGAATGAGCTGGGTTGAGTGAAAATGTGTTAAGCCATGGTTAGGGAAGCAGGTTTTGCACCTGAACTGAGCTAGTCTCATAATATGATAATACTACTACACACTGAATGAACGCAAGTGACACCTCAGAGATCAAGAATATGACCTTGTTTGTTTTCTGGAGTTTAGGCTGGAAGGCATTTGAGTTTTGGTGGAAATTGTACTTGCATTCCAGCCAAGATCGGAGCCGGGTTTTTTTAGTGCGGAAGGCAAATCTGTGGTTATCTGATTATCTGTCTCCAGACTTAAGGATACAACAACATCCAAGTCTTATTCCCATAAGGTTTTGGGGTCAGTTAACATGAATCGATTCATGATCTCCAGACTTAAGGATCACACGGGAAATTAAATTTTGTATCAAAGCCATACCTAAAAAATGTCCAAGCAGAGTGTCTGGCAATGCAAGAACAGGTACAGCTGACATGGGCTATATCCTAGACTCCTATCTTCTGTACTCGCACAGCAGACCTCACACGCCGTTAGATAGTAAGGTTGAACCAAACCCTGCACTTTGGCCACTTTAAAAATAGCAATGATAGATAATCAAGATATGCATAGATAGACACATAACATAGTGAAAAGGTGTGGCTAGTAGTTGTGGAAACATGTTAAGCTTTTGTCTAAACTTCTTTTAATATTTTTAGGCCTGAGCTTGTACGGTTACTTTGTTAAAGACTTATTTTTCAGTCTGAGTCTGACCTAATTGAAAGTTAGGTCTGGTCTGAAGCTTGTTAAAAGAACTAAATAAAGACTAAAAACATTAAAATACTTCTAAAGAACCAGAAAGTTTATTTCAAAAATCACTACAAAATATATACTCTATAATAATACTCTAGTTCCCTAACTTTTCAACTTTTATGTAATTCAATTCTTTTAAGAATTTAAATCTAAATGGCTTTTATAAGCTAATAACACGTTGTATATATTTAAAATAAATATATTCTAATAAGTAATACACGCATAGATATTTAATCATTTTTATAGTTAATTATACGGAGGTAAGGGCCAGTTTGGTCCTCGAAGTTGCATAAAAGGGATCAAATAAGTCCTTATAACGTCTTTACTGTCCGACCGTCGCCATTTGGGGCAGTTCCCGATGGAATTTTTTGATGGAATGTTGTGAGCATCTTATTCATTAAGTCTAGTTTACTCATACCAAATTTCAGTCAAAATTTAAATCGAGAAGGCATTCAAATGAAGTCTTGAAGATAACTGCGCAGTTATCTTCAAGACTTCATTTGAATGCCTTCCCGATTTAAGTTTTATCTGAAATTTGGTATGAGTAAACTAGACTTAATGAATAAGATGCTCAAAAAAATTTATCAAAAAACTCCACTGGGAACCGCCCCAAATGACGACTCCCGGACAGTAAGGACGTTATAAAGATTTATTTGACCCCTTTTATGACTTCGAGCACCAAACTGACCCTTACCTCTTAATTATACATATATTTAGCTAGTAAGTGGGTTTTTAAAGTAGACTTAAAGTTGGGCTAAGCCTGATTTATTTAGATATACGAGCTTCTATGAAAGGTTGAGCCTAGTTTGTTTGCTAAATAACCTAGGGCAGACCTTACACAAGCTCTAAGAGGATAAAAATCAACAAATATTTTATACCTTAAATGGAAATGAAAAAGCTATTTGGGACGGTTAAATAAGAGAAGTTGCAAAATCTTGTAGGACAGAGACGATTAATATTTTTTTATATGATTATTACTAATAATGTACTACCTCCGTCTCAAGTTGAGTTACAAAATTATTTTTTTTGGTCAAATAGATTCATTTTGTTCACTTAATTAGGATATGCTTTCTTATTTAAAGTTTAATTTGGATTTCGCAACTTTATAAAGTTTTAATGGGTACCCCAAGCATTTCTTCATTTTGTGTACCTCATTTTATAAGAAACAAGTGAATAAGGAGTAGTAAATGAAGTACAAATGGGTACCCCAAGCATTTCTTCATGTAGTTATAAGAAGTACTTCCTCCGTCTTATATTTATCTTCACAAGTACAATTTTCACAAGTACAATTGACACACATATTAAGATAGTGGGGGAAATGTGTGGAGAGAGTTATGTAGAGGAGAGAGAAATGTGTAAGAACATGTCTTCCACAAATCCCTAAATTTGGTACAAAAAATTTCCTTGCCTTCGACAAATACGGTATTCCAACTGTGGCTCTGACTGCATTTTCACAGTTCAGCCTAAATGACGTCCGCGAAACCCTTCGTGACAGTCGTAGGGATGCTGAAAGCCAGATCGAGCTCCGCCCTCCGAGCTCGAGGAGGTCACGGCCCGAACCCATTCCTTACTCCCGGCCACCAGGAACGGCCCAACGGCTACCTCTTCAACCGTACGCCCCCGCCGCCGGGGCAATCCCGAAAGTGGGAGGACTGGGAGCTCCCTTGCTACATCAACAGCTTTCTCACCATTGTCATCCTCGGTGTCGGCCTCAACGCCAAACCCGATCTCACTATTGAGACATGAGCCCATCAGGAAGCCATCAAAAGGCTCGAGCTCGAGTCCTCTTCACAATCCGAGTGATTGTTTGATCGGTCAATCTGGGTATGCTTTTGTTACGCCCTCTTCTGGAATTAGGGTTTGGTAGAGAAGATCACATTCTGAGAAGTTTTCTGTTTATATTTCCTGATGCAATTTGGTGGAAAAAAATTGTTGATGTTCATTAACTCATGATTTGGATGGTCAAATTAGACTCCGTTATAAAATAACTTCAGTTTACAGCTTTGTTTGACATGGTAATATTGTGCTTCAATGAAGATGCATTTTCATCAATATATATATATATATGATAGCATGTTTTCAACATATATCTAGGTTGGTTCTTATGATTCTACATCTACATTATGCTTGTTTAGATTACCCAGTAATTCAATATCAGCTTTTTTAACTTGAAATATGAATGTGGTGTCATGTTTTTCTATCACTAGCCTCGCGCCTCGTCTGAACATTAAATATATTGAAATCCCAATATGTTCTTACTTTACTATAACCAAACCAAACGTGCCTAATTTGTCTCGCTCAAACATAGGCTGTGAGTGTGAGAAGTATGAGTGTGCTATAATTAAAGCATTTCCAATGCTATAATGTGTACGGTGCACATGTGGAATGAGAGAAAGACACACAAATATTAGCAAATAAAGTATCTTTCTCCTTATTTGAATGCTTTTGTACAATTTTGGTAAGTTTTTCTCCACAATATCAAGAAGACCGTCTAGATATTGACATTGTGGTTAACATTGTAGAGAAAAACTTACCAAAATTGTACAAAATCATTCAAATAAAGAGAGAAATAATTTATTTGCTAATATTTACGTGGCTATCTCTCATGCCACATGTGCAACCTACACATTGTAGCATCGAAGATGCTTTTATATGTTAATTCTTTTCGTCATTTTTTTGATGTGGGAGTGTTCAATTTTTTGCACAAACTTTGTGATAGTCTTTATGTTTTTACTGTTTTTCCTGATCCGATTGATTTGTTAATATAAATGGGCAATCTAGGCCAACTCCAATCCTACCCAAGGTGTTGTGTGCTTAGATCACTTTTAGGTCGGTAAATGAATGTTGATATTTATCTGAAGGCCTATATGCACATGTATAGCGTCTTATAATTTTATTATAGCATTTCTCACACATTTGAGCTTCATCATTTAATAAGGTTGGGGTGGTTAAGGAATTACAATGATTATATCATCCATTCCAAGTGTTAGATGATATAACAACCCCAACTCTTTCCTCTCTTGTTTCATCTAGCCTTTAAAGACTTGGCGAGGACTAAGTTATTGCAAAAGTTGTATCAATTATGGGGTATTAGGAAATACATGCTTGTACTTCTCTTCATGTTTTCCACATGATCTTCCTGTGGCTTATACCAGTTTTCCTTTGAAGTTTGGCCCTGAATTTATCATGCTTAAATGAAGTGTGCCCTTAATTGCTATAGACAACCAAAACTATGACTTTCTAAATATAAGACTTAAACTGGAGACATCCAAATGATGTACTATAGAGGATTTGAGGAATTATGAGAGAAAATTTGGGTGCACATTGTGAAATCCCATTTCATCCGGTTATGGGCATGTTTCGTTTGCGGACTGGTCGTTCTTAAAAAGTTAGAGAGGCTCGAGAAATATATTTCCGATTCCAGGCCCCCATTTGGTCCTGGTCCTGTCAAGGTTTTTCTTGTTTTATAATACTCCCTCCGTCCCCCAATTAAGTTACCACTTTTCTTTTTGGGCAGTCCCTAAATTAAGTTCACACTTCCTTACTTTCCTTATTTGGCAAATTATCTACATCAAAACAGTGTCAAACAGTGCCAAACAGTGTCAATCAGTGCTTGAACAGTGCAAAATAGTGCACTCCACAGTAAAGTCAAATTTATTTTCTTAATACGTGTGAGGTCAAACCGGTAACTTAATTGGGGGACGGAGGGAGTATATTTTAAAATTCTACATTTCCTCCCCCTTTCAGCTTTTAAATAGACCCTCTCCCTTTTAAGAATGCTTCCCAATGGTCTCAATGAAATAAAAATAGTTGGGTTCGGGATTGGAACCTCTTTCCTGTCGGTCCAGTCTCACTGTCCCAGTCAAAAATCTTATTTTCCTATCCCAGTTTGAAAACCGGGCGATCCAGTCTGGTCCTAAGACAAGGACATTATCACTGACTCAATGAGTTTCCAATTCATTGATAACCAATTGAGTTAGGGGTTGTTTACTCTTTTTTTCATTAAGTCCTGAATGCATTAAGACGTATTTCTGTATTAAGTTGTCTGTCTGTATTAAGTGACACTGAGATAACAAACTGTTTATTAAGTGTGCTGAATGAGAAGTCTGAATCATATCGAATGACCAAATAACCCTCATGTTTGTATATTGTTTGTTTACTTTCCTTGTTCCGAAATACAATTGGCATATAATTTCTATAATTTATGGAGATAGAAACAACAATTACTTATTAAATAAGTTCTAAAATTAAAGACCTAAATTTCTATTTAAACAAAACTGGGAGTTCGTTTATGATTTCCTCTATTCCAACAAAATTGAAGATGAATGTTTATCTATATATTGTTTAATTTGAATACGACCAATATAATGTAAAGAATGAGGATGGGTGTGTTTTCTATTCCAATAAAATTGATCCAAGTATGAAAGTAATCTAGAGAAATATCGAATAGTGAAGGTGTAGAGTTGCAAGTAACGAATATGACCCTGCTCTCTGTTTTCCGTCGATGGAGAACTGATTCTTCAAAGGGGACAAAAGAAATTGTCAGCTAAGTTTAAAAGAGAGAAATTAGTCTCTTCTGTGTCTGAAGCCTTGTCTGAAGCCGGAAGAGTGCCTTTTTGTTGAGCGAATAAGTCAGTTTTTGACTTAGCGAATAAGTGATATGTTTTATTAAGTTCTAAGTAAGCACCAATTAATTAATGAATGAATGAATGGTTAAGTCATCAATTCAATTAAGTCCATTAAGTCCTAAGTAAACAACCCCTTGCTCACCTTCGCATGACTTAATAATAATTTGAATTTGAATTAATGAAATGTCGTGATGCACTTTTGTTAACTCGTATTGTTTGTGTTAAATGTTGTTAGAGCACGGTTTGGCAAGATAAGCACTTAAATGTAAAATGCAAAGCGTGGAGTGTTTTAAACATTTTTGTACTATACCTTATAAAATATTTTACATGCTGAGAGGGTGTGAAATACTTTATACTACAGAAATTTTGACACTTTTGGTCCTATGACTATATACTAAGTCTCACTTTTGATCCTATTCTTTTAAAAGTCTCATATTTGGTGCACGACTATCATATTTTGGACACTTTTAGTCCTCCGGTCATTTATCCGGCCAAACCCATCGGTGAAGCTATTTATTTTGTCTAGCTCACCTTATAAATTTATTTTTCAGAGGGCACTTTGTCAATTATTGCGCCATGTTTTTGTCAATTATTAATGTAATGCTAGTGAATCAGTTTTGTATGTTTTTTGCCGATGTCAATGGCTCAGTAATGTAATGTTATTAAAATTCATTATTCATAAACAGATTGACATTATTGAGAAGGAAAGTTAGGAAACACAGTGTTTTTGCTGATGTTTTTTGCTTCGCACTATTCAGAAGGAAATACAATATTTTGCTTAGGCAGTGTATTTGTATCATGTATCGATTCATGTTAGCCGACCCCAATATCTTTTGGGACTAGTGCATTTGTACATGCTTTGGTGAACTTTTCAAGACAGAACATACATGCTCCTTTTTTCAAAAAAAGTCTGCCAAATATCATGTGTATTCTAATGGGCATTCTTTCCTAGACAGAATATGCATTATCTTTTATCATTTTCAAAAATCTGCCAATTTAAATGTGTAATCTAATCTGCCAACTTTTCTGGACAGAATATGCTCTTTACTCAATCTGCATTCTAATGTGTTTTGTTGATAATAAGAAACTCAACATGCAGATTTTTTAACTTTCTGGAACTCCTTTTTAACTCAATGCAAATCACTTATTCATTAAAATATATTAAATCATAAAAAGTAACTACTCATTAAAGATATTAAGAGGGTTACATGATACTGCAGCAAATACACAAACCATTACAAATAGCTCACCAAATACATGAATCTAAATTGCAGCAAATTAAACTAGTTACACCTCCATATTACATAAGATGTTTCCCACCCAAACTCCTGAATTTAGTTTCCATTTCCAGTGTTACAATGAAACAAAGTACAAAGCTAACAATGACCACCACTGCTAACACCAGGACACATGGGACTTGAATGCACTTCACAGAAGACTTCACTTCAGTACTCACATCTGCCTTATTAATGGTCTTCAGTTTCATTTCAAGACTTCTTATTTCTTCATCTTGGCAATTAATCCTTTTCAACAACCCGGGAATTATCCTTTTGGCTCGTTGACACATAGGAGGGTCAAACCACTCCATAAAATTGCATCCTCCATGTCTCTGTTGCTCATATATCCACAAGTAAGTAGCAGACTGGTTAGTATTAACTAAATAGATTCTATCACCAATTTGTTCCCATGTCATTGCCTTATGAAATAAGCAAAAAACTGGGCTGCTTTTTTATTATCTAAACAACCTTTACACAAAACAAGTATTGAATAACTTACTTCATAGTTAGGACATTGGAAAAACCTCCGACCTGGATTTTCACTACTCCATGTGGTAAGCAGCTTCAACTCGTGGCCACAGTGAAAACAAGTAATTGGAATCCACTCACCATAACTGTAATATTCACGCTGGGAATTTCTGGAAACAAAGTTCGTCATTCTTGGATAGATGATGGCTAGGGTTTTTGTTCTCCAGTGCTCGAAGCTTCATTCACCTGGAGAAGAAGCAAAAGCAACGAAATAAATAACCGGAGGACTAAAAGTGTCCAAAATAAAGACAAAAGTGCCCTCTGAAAAATAAATTTATAAGCTTATAAGGTGAGCTAGACAAAATAAATAGCTTCACCGATGGGTTTGGCCGGATAAATGACCGAAGGACTAAAAGTGTCCAAAATATGATAGTCGTGCACCAAATATGAGACTTTTAAAAGAATAGGATCAAAAGTGAGACTTAGTATATAGTCATAGGACCAAAAGTGTCAAAATTTCTTATACTACTGATGGAGTATATGGCCCGGGAACCCCCGGCCCACAGACTCCTACTATTCCAGCAAAGGCCCAACAGGCCCAAAAGGCCCAACAGGCCCAAATCACAGTGCCCAGGGTACCAAGCAGCCCGCACTACGCGCCAGGGGTGCCTTCGGCCCCCCGGCCAAAGGCTCTAAATTCTCACAGAACGGGTTTCTCAAGCAAATTAAGAAACTAGAAGAAAACGACGAAAACAGTAGCCCTCGGCACTGTGAGCCCTCGGCACCAGGGTGCCATCGGGTGGAAGAGCCCTCGGCTACTGCTCTATAGCCGAAGGCATCTCACTCGACAAGATATCCGCCTCACATGCGTACAGATCATCGTGCCCCGCACAGACGTCCCATCCAACAGCCGCATTAAATGCGGCCACATGCGGCTGCCAGCGCCAACCAGTTGAGGTGACCCCTCGGCCAATGAGCGCTTGACACGTGTCCCTGCCCGGCATTTATTGCTACTATAAATAGCACCCCATTTCCTCATTTGTAACCACGCTGAAAACGGCATTCATACTGAATATACTCTCTCTCTACTTTTACTTACTTGCTCTGACTTCTCTCTAAGTTATTCCCCGTAATAACCCTTCGGATATATACCCCCGGGTAGACTATCCATCATTTGGTGCTCTCGTTGAGAGGTTGAACAATCGAGTAAGAAACCCTCCCCCTCGACCAAACACAAGACACTAGCCCTCTATCAAAATGGTGAGGACAACACGTGCCAACTCAAAAAACGTAGAAGACAAGAACCTGGCCCTCGACGACGTCAACGCCCCCGAAGCCTCTCACAGGGCTCCCGAGGGCGGTGTCATCGCTGGGCTGGAACAGGCGGCTGTCGACCTACGCCTTCAGATCCAACAAAATGCCCCCGATGCCCGCCTCGGCATAGAGGCCAAGAAGAAAAACCGGAGCGATGACCAAGTCAGCCCTCCGGTTCTCACCATCGACGTGCAATCGGCGCTCTCCGCCTTCATCCAGACGCTCACCCAGAACCCGGGTGCCTTCGGCACCCTGGCTCCAGCTCACCCTCAGATCGGGGAAAATATCATACTTCCCCCTCAGCCACACCCCTTCGGAAATCCCACCCCTCGGGTGAGAAACGACGAAGGGGTGGTGGCCCAAGAAACGTCCTCCCAGGAAGTTCAGTCCCAGGACTGCCACCATGACGACAAGGAAAGGCCCCGTACTTCCGCCCTCAACCGGCTCGGAGGAGGGCCAGACCGCCGAGGGGTCCAAGACCGCCGAGGGGGGAAAGCACTCCAAAGGCCCCAGGAAAGCGGGGGATCTGTTTCGAGGGCAGACGAGGAGCGTCCCCCTCGGGACAAAGGCAAGGCACCCCTTCATGCCAATGACGCTCGCCACCAGATCAACCAGGCCCACTCGGCCCGGGTTCATTCGCAGGGGGCAGAGACCCTCCCGAAGGATCCCCGGGACGAGATTATTGCGGCCCTCCAGCGCCGGCTTGACGAAATGGAGTCCAATAAAGCTCACGCCACCACCTCCACCCCTCACTCAGACCTCAAATACGAGGCCATGATGGCCAAAATGGAGGAGTTACAGAAAAAGGTGGCCGAGGGCTCCGGGGAACCCGTCATCTAGCTCCGGACTCGGACGCCATTTACCCCAAGGGTATTGGCGGCCCGGATCCCGGAGAAGTACCGAGGGCAACACATACAGCCCTACAACGGAAAAACGGACCCCCAGGAACATTACAGCAAGTACCAGAACAACAAGATGATGGTGGGGGCGTCGGACGAATATTTGTGTCGTTGGTTCCTCTCCACCTTAGAGGGCCGGCATACGAATGGTTCAACAGGCTGCCCGAGGGCTGTATTGATTCATGGCAAGAACTCGCCCAGCGGTTCTTGACGCAATTTGCTGGGAGGCGTCGCACAAGGAAGCACTTCTCCCACCTCCTAACAATACGCCAGAAGAAGGATGAGACCCTTCGGGATTTCCTGGAGCGCTGGAGGACGGAGGCCGACAAGGTCGACGGTGCTGATGACGGGACCCTCCTGGCCCTCCTGCAAACCGTCCTTCGCACCGGCAACTTTTCGAGGAGCCTCATCATTGAACCCCCCCCCCCCCCCCCCCCCGCGACTACATAAGGGCTTTGCAGCGGGGGGACCGATATGCTGAGGCCGAGGAGGTGGAGAAGTATCACCAACATCCGGACCAGCAGCCCCCGAGGGCTGACAACAAGCATAACCGAGGGCCGGGGGCTCCTCCAAATCACCCCAAGGCTTCGGGACCCTCTCATGACCGCCCCGGCAAGGCCAAGCCAAGCCCGGGGGAGGTTATAAGAGCAACCCTAAGACTTAGGCCCAGCCCATTCTCCTGGACCGCCCTCGGACACCATTGACGGACCCCGTCAGCATCATCCTCGATTTTGCCGAGGAGAGGGGCCTCGTTGAGCGCGACTCTCGCGCACCCCCGGAGGTGCACGCTATCAACCCTCAGTTCCCCTACTGTCGCTTCCATCGGCACCAGGGGCACAGGACCGATGACTGCCATCAGCTGAAGACGGCCATCGAGAGATTAATACAGGCGGGGCACCTGTCCCAATTTGTCCAGAGCCCTCGGCAGGAGGGGCCTTCTCACCAGGGACCTCCTCGAGGGCACCATACGAAGGTAAATGCCTGGGTAAACCCGAATACCATCCCCCTCGGCAAGAAGAGGGAGATCGGAAACTTGGAAGAAGAAGAGGAGGAATACCCCCACTACCAGGAGAAAAAACGCCACATCCTCATGATCACCGGTGGCAATACAGGGGGCGATTCCACCAGCCAACGAAAGAAGTGGGCTCAATCGCTTTACGTGGGGGAAGTCACTCATATGCCCCCGGTAAAGCGACTGAGGGAGGAACCCATCACCTTCACCAACGCAGATCTCCCTCCTACTTCTTCTCCTCACAGGGATGCCTTGGTGATTCGGACGGAGATAAGCGACACCATTATTCACCGAACTTACATTGACACGGGCATCTCCGTCAATGTAATGTACCTCAGCACCTTCAGAGAGCTGCATCTGGATAGGGGGTCCTTTCGGCCCATTAAGACCCCTCTTGCCGGCTTCACCGGCGACACTATTGATTCCGAGGGGGTAATAACCCTCCTGGTGATCTTCGGCGACGGGCTCCATAGAGCCCAGCTCGAGGTGGAGTTCGTCGTCGTCAACATCGACTGCGCCCACAACATCATCCTCGGCCGGCCAGCCCTCGAGGACCTTGAAGCCATCATCTCCATGAGGCACCTCTGCCTCAAGTTTCCCGCCGAGGGGGGCATTGGCTACTCCCGGGGGAACCAAAAAATTGCCTGCGCTTGCTACCTTCAGGTCACTAAGAAGGTAAGCAAGATGGAATTCCGTGTTGACACCATCACCGGAGCCGTCGACCAAGAGGAAAGAAGGCCGAGGGCTGAACCGGCCGAGGACGTAGAAGACTTTGCGCTCGATCCGGCCCAGCCGAAGAGAGTCGTGAAAATTGGAGCCCAGCTCCCTGAAAATTTGAAGACCGGTATCACCGACGCCCTCCGCGCCTGCTCCACTGTCTTTGCATGGGGGCCGGAGGACATGCCGGGAATCAGCCGAAGGGTCATCACCCACCGCCTCTCGGTGGACCCCTCGGCAAAAGCAGTACAACAACGAAGGAGACCCCTCTCCGCCGAGAGGAGGGAATTCGTGAAGAAGGAGGTCGCCATGCTCCTATCAATTAAGCACATCAAGGACGTGAAATACCCCTCATGGCTAGCAAATGTAGTCCTCGCACAGAAGCCCCCTACCTTCCGCATGTGCGTGGACTACACCGATCTCAACAAAGCATGCCCCATGGATCCATTCCCTCTACCAAACATTGATCAATTGGTGGATGAGACCGCGGGGTGTGAAATCATGTCCTTCCTCGATGCCTTCCGAGGGTACCATCAAATATTCATGCACGAGGAAGACGCCGAAAAAACTGCCTTCATGACTCCCGAGGGCATCTTCTGCTACCTAGTGATGGCCTTCGGCCTAAAGAACTCGGGGGCCACTTACACCCGGATGGTGGCCCGGGTCTTTCAAGCCGTCCTAGGGCGCACCATGGAGGCCTATGTTGACGACATGATCGTCAAGAGCAAACAATCTTCCAGCCATGCTGACGACCTCCAGGAAATCTTCGCCATCATGCAAAAATTCAACCTTCGGCTAAACCCGAAGAAGTGCACCTTCGGCGTCCAAGGGGGCAAGTTCTTGGGTTACATGGTGAGCCGAAGGGGTATTGAGGCCAATCCCGAGAAAATCCAGGCCATCATCAACATGGAGCCCCCACGCAATGTGAAGGAAGTTCAACGGTTGACGGGCCGCCTGGCAGCCCTCAACCGCTTTCTATCTAAATCGGCGGAGAAGTCTCTACCCTTCTTCCAGATCATGAGGAAGACGGCTGGCTTTCTATGGACTCCGGAATGCCAGGAGGCTTTCGACGAGCTCAAACGATATCTATCTTCACCTCCTGTGCTCTCCAAACCCAAGGTTGGGGAGACCCTCTACCTCTACCTTGGGGTCAGCCCGGCGGCCATCAGCTCTGTGCTCATCCGGGAGGAAGACGGCATCCAACATGCCATCTTCTACGTTAGCAAGACCCTAAGGGAGGCCGAGCTCAGGTACTCCCCTGTGGAAAAAACGGTATTGGCCATCATCTGGACTGTCAAGAAGTT